AAAAAAAAAAAAAAAAAATTGTCGTTTATTCCAATTCGCTTGAAAGAGGACGAACAATTCTTTCTTCTTCGTGGAAACATGTTGTTAAACATTAATGATCACAATTACAAGATATTAATTTGTAAATATATAACATCTGATTAGGTGGCAGAAACGGTACTTCAACGTGTCTTGGGACCGAATGAAGTTCCAAAGGTTTGGATTATTTTATTCTCAAGTTGCTTTCGCTTTCATCATCAACTGATGCTTTTGCTTTGATTAAGAACTATATCATTATCTTTTAATTTTTTTTTTCCGACCACTTGCAAATATCAATCAATAATGCGGCATGCGATCGATATTTTTATCACTAATTAATCATCTTGATCGATTTTCAATATTATCTATAATATATTATCTATATTATTCATGCAAAAGGCTTTAATTTATTGATTTAAGTTTAGATTTAGAATATAAAAAAAATCCTCATCAGAGAACTCGATCTGAGGATTTCTTTCCAATTTTAAATCATATTCGAGCATAATTTACGATACTGAATTGAAATTATTTAATTAAGTTGCATATAATTAAATAAGTCAAATATGTCAAACATATATCAAAACATTATCGAATAATTCTTATATCGCATTGCAATGAAACGCAATGTTTAAACTAATATTTTCAAAAATGATAAATTTTTGTGTAAATCGTAAATATTTAGAAATTTATTTATATAAAAAAAACAAAAAGAAGAAGAAAGAGAAGAAAGAGAAGAAAAAAAGAAGATGAAAAGAAATCAACAATAGCAATTTTAATTATTTTGTAATTATTATAATTATCATTTATTGTTTCATTCAATTTTGTTATTAGGTTGTCCACAAACAATTTAACTCACCGATCGGACTCTATTCCGAAGAAAATATTGCTGATACTATAAAATGCCAAGCATCTGCTATACCGTAAGTAATAATAAATAAAAGTATTATTATAAAACAAAAGTTAATACACTGTATATAGTTTGCAAATAAAGCATAATAAAATTACTAGCATTAATAATATGATTTAATAATACAATTTGATTTTTGCTGAATGCTGCTACTTATCAAACTATTAACTCTGAGCAGTTGATAATTTTTTTACGCTATCGACTAACGGATATTTTTAAATTATAACTTAAACTATGATGTATAAGAAGAATGATCTATATTTTACCTGGAAGGGATATTTGTTGGAAATTTTAAATCGAAGATAGATTTTATTGAGGAAACAATCATAATATAAAAAATATGGATATAGAAAAGAAATCGCAGCTCAGACTGTTATATTCTTTCTAAGTGGATGACATACACTCACGTGCAGTTTATTTATTTTCCAGCATTTTCATAGATTTTTCCTTCGTGAAACAGAAACAAGAAATAGAAGAACAAGCGAGAATCTTGAAAGAGCAGGCTAAGGCTGCCTCCTCGAAGAATGTGTGGCCGCAATTCAATAAACCAAATTAATATTCAGTTCGAGACGTTTTTCGATGCTTCTCGCACGTTGTATAGTAAATTCGTAGTTTCAAATTTTTTCTCGGTTTTCGCATAAATCACGTTTTTTGTCTTAAAATTGTTTCTCTTTCATCATTGAAAATAATAACTGTATTATACATTTTTTATTTTTTTAATGGGACAAATGAACGTGGCTATTTGTGATTGAAGTTTTGATTAGCGTTCGATCAAGTATTTATTTATTTATTTGAACGAGTTTTGTTTTAGTTTATTATTTATGTCTGTAAAATATTATTATTTATTAGGATTATGATACAATTATTGCAGTTTGTTTTTTTAATAATATCAAGTAGAGTCAATAAAGTCGACATAAATATTAGAAAATAAATCACAAAAAAAGTTTGTAAAATAACAATACTATACATTTGCATGGTGTATTGTTGAAAATAATCAATAATTAATCATAGTAAATGTTCATGTAAATTAGTAGCCTTACTAATTTTATAATAGTTACATGTACTTATAATGAAAAAGCATTTCTCGAGAATTTATTATCAATTATCAATGTGAAGCATTATATAACATATTAATAACTACAAAAATTAAGAATTAAAATCACGCACGATTCTCGAGAAAAAGCATCAAAGATTTAGTTGAGACATATTCACGACTAATAAAAAAGGATTAATGAAAAAAAGCATGGAAGCAGTCTGAAAGTCGCTCTCGAACAAATAATTGATGATATAACCCTGGCTAATCGATTTGACAAAATCAAGGCAAATAAATTAAAAATAGTCTATGTATACAATGTAATGGTACAGCCCGAAGAAACCGATGAAGTACGACCCAAGTAAAAGCGAGGCTTACAAGGCTCTGCAAGAAGAAGCACTCGGCGATACAGTACAAGAAGTAAAACAACCAGCACGCACCGGTGTTTTCTCTCCACAAAAAGTTAACCAAAATAGAGTATGTATGAAAAATAATTAAATTTAATAATTAAATCCTTAAAATTATTATTATTATTATTCATTTCTTATTTATATAAACTAATTATTTTATAAACTATAATATTCTCAGATATATCACTCTCGACCAAAAAGTCCTGCAGGACCTTATGTAAGTAAAACTTTAAATATTTGAATTTTTTATTAGTTTTTATTATATTTTAACATTATTTTATATCACGTTTATAGCATTATATAACATTTTTTGTATTAAAAAATGTTTAATATGAAATTATTGTTATTAATAATCAATATTTATTTAATTGAGAATCAAAGTTTTAAATCTTTTTACATATAAATAAAAGATTATATGAACAATTATAAAATTTTACATCAATATTTATATGAATAATTTTTATATATTTATATAATATTATATGTTTATGTATAAATATTTTGACAATAGATTTTTCCTAAATATTTAAAAAACTAAAATTCATCTAAAAATTATAATTCAATTTAATTATTCATTCAAATATCAAGTATTGAATAGTTATCATTATCATTATCACACTAATCTTCAATATTTGTGAAATTTATTAATATTGTTACTTACTTCCAAGAACAATGGAAATTTATAATTTCTTTCTAGATAAATATTCTCGATGATGATGGTGAAAAAATCCATCAAAGTAACAGCTTCAAGAGGATTATGTATAGTGTTTTGGGACAAACTGATTATTAATTTATAAACTGATTATAAATATATCTTATTAATATATATATATATATTTTATTTATTGTTCATTGCAATAAATTAAAAATTAAATATAATAAAAAAAATTTGTTAAAATAACGCGAAATTACTAAATGAAACATTAAATAAATACCATTATTAAATGAAATATTAAATATGAAGCTTCTGTAAATTTTTACATGATGCTGTGAATTTTATTTATGTAGAAATTATACCATCATGTATATTAAATTTTTCTTTATTTTAAAAATAATACGAGCAAATAAACATTAAGTGTGAATCACATATGAAATAATGAATATTATTTTATTACTTCCTCATATTTTCTCATATTTACATTTAAATAATAATCAATATATTGAACAAAAATATTGAATATTATTAAAAAGGGAAATAATTATTTAAAAATACTTGATAATGGCTAACATAATTTAATTTCATAATAAGATGCTACAATATTTACCCTAATATATCGATGCAAGTATACTAATATAAGTAAATTTTAATTTATTTTCATCAGCAACTTTCTGATCTATTAATCTATTATCTTTTTAATATTAAAGCATATATTTATCATCCTTATTATGCATATAATAACAAAAACTGATGATTGGAATAACAGTACCGCAGATTTTGATTGGATCATATTGTATTTAATGGATTACAAAATATTGTATATCATTTTTTTTTATTTTTTATAGGTAGAACATAAAAGATAATTATAATAAATTTTATATTTGAATTTAAAATAATAGTTTTCAATGAATACTAATATAATCAATGATACGGTACAATAAATATTCCATTCATAAATTCTATTTTTGAAATGAATTATACATATAAATACTGTGCCTTCGCAGACTATAACCAACGCATACCGTGTACACGTGCGCATTGGATAAAATAAAATAATAATAAAATATATATCTTTTTATATTCACTAGCATTAGCAAGTTGACTCTTTAAAAGGGAGAATGTTTCAAAACTTTTCAAAGAGTAACATTATAACTCAATTTCGTAAAAATTTTTTTTTAAATTTATATAAATTTACATTTTCATAATTTGTTACGGAAGTGAGTCTAATATTACAATCTATTTCTTCGTATAATTCTACGATCCTACCAATCATTTAATTCTTTATAAAAATAGAACAACGATAAAGAATTAAATCAATTGGCTGTTCTTTACTACGGCATAAATAAATGAATAAAAAAATTGCCGTAAATACACAATACCAACCCTGAAAAGTTTAATTTAAATCTCCACAGTCATAACCATAGAAACATTTACGCTCTGCGTAAAATGTTATATATAAATTAAAAATAATACTTTTTCTTTCTCTTCATTTCTCATAATGTTAATTTTATATCAATTAACAAAATAAAATACAAATGTATTCTCACGTACGAATATTTTCAATTAATATAATTTGGTTGTATCATTTAAATTTAACAACTGAGCAATGAATAAGACATGCTAAAATGTTTTGTGCTAATATAATTTACATTATATATATGTATATATATATACACATATATATATACATATATATATAATTGGTATATTTACATAATAAAATATTTCTGTGAACTCAAACATACACTAGGCTCATCATTCAACTCACATACTAATATAAATATGTTATGTATTTAAAAAAAAAAAGAAAATATACAGAATCGCATTCAAACATTAAATAAGAATGAAATGCATATATTTTCATGAATTACTCATTGCATATTAGAATATTTATATTAGAAACAAAACTTAAATATTGACTTCAAATATTTATTATTAATTTTTAGATTTTTCATTGAATTTATATTTTTTATTTTTTTTTAATTAAAGCAAAGAAATGTTTTGAAGTATTAAGTTATTGATTCGATCATTGCACTTATATAAGATAGAAATTTTAAAAGAATTAATACATATTACATAAATTTTATAATAAATCTATTAAGAAAATATTTGTACGTGCGATAATTCTAAATGAATTAATAATAAAGAAAATTGCAAGTTATGTTAACTTCTAAAAGAGTGATGTAGAGCAGGACAAAAAGAATATAACAAGTATAATGAAGAAAATAAATAAAATGTGTTATACATAGTGCTATGAAGAGTAATTAAAGATTGAAGGAGTCATCAAGTAATTGTTTCAATTCTTTGAGATGCTGCATTTTGCTTCCTGTTGCGGGTGAAGCTCCCGTTGGTCGACCAACATATCTGAAACAGAAAGTTAAATTTACAGATTGAAATTAATTATTATTAAATATTATATATTTATCATCATGAACAGTAAGGAACAAATAAAATTATAACAGATATTCTAATTAAATATTATGATTAACATTACCTTAATGTTCTGTGTTTGGATTTATTAGATTCTTTTGATAGTGGCTCGGACACAATTGTTGGTTTAGTTGAAAACCAACTACTAAACCACCCTCTGCTATCCTTACTGTCGTATGATGTATTTCCGCTGCTGTAACATGGCCCAATTGTTTACTTTGTAAGCACGCGTACAAAACAAATTAGTGACAAACTTAGTGCAAATATATTGCTTATTATGATATATTATATATTTATATCGAAATTTTATATTATATTAAAAACGACAAAGTAAAAAACTTGAGCCATGTAAACAGCTAAAGCCGTGAAAAACCATATTGAACATTTAAAATAAATGATAATTGTATTTTTTAATAATTTATATATACAATTATCAATTAAATGACTATACGATATTAAAAAATTCATTAAAAAATTCATCAAAACAAAAACAAAAATAATTTAAAATATATAATTTTTTAAAATATTGATACTTACGATACAGAACGAATTCCATTAAGAGCTGTATGGAATCTAGGTTGAATATATGTCCATGCACCTTGATTTTTGTGTTCTTCTTGAGCCCATACTAAATCTGCATTGGAATATTTAACAGCTTCTTTTTTAACTAAATCATATGGGAAAGGTGAAATCTATAAATAAAAATATTTAGATAAATTTACTCAGATAAATTAATACAATAGAAGTAAAAAGTTCAAAACTTGATATTTATTGTTATTTACCTGTTCAACTCTTACAATAGCGACTTTATCATCCAAATTTTTCTCTGCGCGTGCTTTTTTTAGATCATAGTAAATCTTACCAGAACAAAAAAGCACTCTTTTAACATTATTAGGATTTTCAGAAGCTACACCTTCTTCTGGTATTACTCTAAGAAACTCTGTATTTTCTAACATTAAATCGAAACTAGATTTCGCTTCTGGATGACGAAGTAATGATTTTGGTGTCATTAAAATCAAAGGTTTTCTAAATGGCAATGCAATTTGTCTTCTTAAAATATGAAAATAATTTGCTGGTGTACTGCAATTAGCTACAATCCAGTTGATATCATGCAACTGGCGTACAGCAAATTCTTCATTTTCAGGAGGAAAATAATCTGGATCATCAGCCGACATTTGTAAAAAACGTTCTAAGCGAGCACTGGAATGCTCAGGTCCCTATAAAAATATAATATAATGAATTATTCACTGTCACATTATAAATATAAAAAGAAAATATTTAAAATATATTCACCATTCCTTCAAGACCATGAGGTTGCAGCATAACAAGACCAGATTGACGTACCCATTTAGCTTGACCACTGCTAATAAATTGATCGATTATGCATTGTGCTGTATTGTTGAAATCACCAAATTGTGCTTCCCAGCATACTAATGCATTAGGATTTGTCATAGAATAACCTAATTCAAATCCTGAAAATTTAAAAATTTTAAATATAAAAATTTCATTAGTTTCATCAAAACATAATATATATAAAATCAATGTAAAAAATATTTTAACATTTTTACCAAGAACACCAAATTCTGATAAAGAACTATTGCACACAGTGTATGGAGCTTGATCTGGATAAAGGTAACATAACGGTCTATAAGTAGCTTTATCTACAGTTTGATGATGAAGAACATGATGTCTATGTGAAAAGGTTCCTCTTTCTACATCTTGACCTGACAATCTAACATGAATGCCTTCTTTAAGTAAGGAACCAAAAGCCATAGCTTCTCCAAGAGCCCAATCAACTGTTCGAGCTTCTATCATTTCCATACGAGATTTCAAAATACGTTCAATACCTATTTAATATTTATATATTTCAAATTATTTAATATTTATATATTTCGAATTATTTAATATTATTTCTATATATATAATATATTTTATATATATTATATATATATATTAAATATATATTAAAACCATTAAAAAATATATTTACCTTTATGAACTACAAATTCTGCTGCATTGGGTGGTGGTGATGAGAATTTTTTTCCAATATGAATGAGTGTGTCTTCTTTAATACCAGTAGGAGATACTTTCAAAGGATCTTTTCCTTCAAAAAAACCAGACCATGGAGAATCTAACCAGTCTTTATATTTAATATGTGTTTCTTGTTTAGCATTGACATATGCTTCTTCACAGATTTTTTCATATTTATCTTTAACATCCTATAATAATATTATTATAATAATTTCATCATATATACTTAAATAATTAAAATATCTTAAGTCAATACCTTAACTTCTTCAGAAGTGACAACACCATCGTCAGTAAGAGTTTTAGCATATTTGTCTAGAACTGGTGGAGTATTTCTAATTTTGCGATACATTAAAGGTTGTGTAAACATAGGTTCATCAATTTCATTATGACCATTTCGTCTATATGATACAATATCAATAACAACATCTTTATGAAAAGTTGCTCTCCATTCTGCAGCAACTTTACAAACATGCATCACTGCCTCAGGATCATCCGAATTAACATGGAAGATAGGTGCATTCACTACTCTTGCAACATCTTTCAAAAATTCAAACATAATTTAAGTGAAATTTAATAATTATTTTAAATTACTAATTAAATAAATTTTAAAATATAAAAATATTATTTTCTATATATAATATTTACCAGTACAGTATGGAGAAGATCGTGAATGTCTTGGATCTGTTGTAAATCCAATTTGATTATTCACCACAATATGAATAGTACCATGAGTTGTGTAATCAGGCAAATCTGATAAGTGCATTGTTTCAAAAACAATACCCTGTCCACAAAATGCAGCATCACCATGCAGAAGAATAGACATGACCTGTTAAATTCAATGATAAAAATTTAATGTTACTTTATTAATAATGCAAATTATTATTTAAATTAAAAACTAATATAAATTGTTATTATAATTTTTATATCGCACCTTTTTGCCTTCACCATCACCACGATAGAATTGTTCTGCACGAGTCTTTCCTTGCACTACTGGATCAACAGCTTCCAAATGAGATGGATTTGCCACCACAGCCAAACGAATGTTTTTATTTGTTACTCGATTTAGACGCTCAATATACGTTCCCAAATGATATTTAACATCACCGGATCCCTAAATTATTAAGAATGAATAAAATATATATAATAAATCAAATTTTATAACATATATTATATATGCTTACATCATCAGCTGCTTCAAGAGCAGCAAATTGGGTAAATATTTGACTTAAAGGCTTGCGGCATACATTAGCAAGGACATTTAAACGACCCCGATGAGGCATACCCATAACAATGGATTCAACTCCTAATTCAGTTGATTTATCAATTACTTGTTTCATAGCAGGAATTAGAATTTCACATCCCTCTAAACCAAATCTTTTCTCAGATGACCATTTACGTGCAAGAAATGCTTCAAATCTATAATATAATACAAAAAATAGGATTAAATATATTGTTGCTGATTTAATATATAAATATTGATATTTTAATATATATACCCAGTTGCTCGAGTTAATCTAGCCAAAATAAGTCTCCTTTCATCATTTGTCATTTCCATAATACCGGGTGTCTCCATTTTTTGCCGAATCCAATTACATTGTTCTAAGGAGTTAATAAACATAAATTCCACACCAATGTGACCACAGTAAGCAGCTTCTAATCTCTTTAGGATTTCACGAAGAGGCAATGATTTTTCTTTGCCTCCGATAAAAGTGGTGGACGGTAATTTGAAAATACGATCCATGTCTGACTCTTCTGTAGAATGTGAATAATAAAATATTTAATTTAAAAAAAAATGAATATTATAAAGAACAAGCGTCACATATTTGTAACAACAAAAAATTTAATTTCAAATAAATTTTTTTTTAAATACTTGCTATATGTAATACGCACCTTTTTTAATTAAAATATAATATATTTTTTTTTATTACTGATACTGAAAATGTGAACTATTTATAAAGCAAAAAAATAAAAAAAAAGATAACTTTGTACAATACGAAACTTAAATGCAATATTTTTTATATTTGCATTTTTCTATCTTTGTAACTTACAAATAATTTTTTTAATAATATTACGTGTAAATATATGCAAAAAGTTTGACGCGTAATATATGCATGCATCATATCTTAAAAAAAACCAATAATCAAGATTATTGGTTTAACAAAATATATAACAAACCTTCTCCACAATATTTATAAAAATAGAAATAAATTGAAAACTGAAAAAAATATTCAAATACAAAGCTGTAAACCTTAATGAAGCATTATTAGTAAAAACAATCACCAACAATACCAAAATGATAACACTACAATAATATTATAAGATTTTTAAATATATATATTATTGATTACACAATTTATAAATTAAAATAAAAAAGAATATAAAAAAATGTAAAATTTGAAAAATAATGAATATATAAAAGATATTTAATAAATAAATAAGAAATTGAAAAGCCATACAAATATGATTTATAAATAATTATACTTATTTTTCATTATATTAAACATCTTACATAAATTATTATAATAATAATGTAATTTAATTATTTACTTTCTCTAATTCTTCCCAAAAAAAAAAAAAATTATTCCTGGCACAAATATCTTTACAGCAAAATAGAGCAATTTTTCAAACAATATTTATACAAAAAATCCAAGCACCTTTACAATTTGTCTGCAACACCAATTTTTATATAATTCCATTATATATAATAAACCAACGCTTCCCAAAGATACTAAAAATTCACAAAACTTTAAATTGGATTTTCATTTGAATTATAATTCTTACATACTTTTCATAAGTGCAGCTATTTTATATTGTAGTTCCTGTGAGTAAGTTGTAGTACGTGCTCTGTTTCCTGTGGACATTAGACTTGAACTGAATAATAAATTATTGAACTTTTTGTATTTGTATTATAATAAGATTTTGTTCCTAAATAAAAATAATTTCATTTTGCTAACTTTTAATCTAATTAAAATTCAAGACTTTTTTTGTATTTATAATGCTGTATTTTGTGACCAGGAAAAAAATGTAATAATATATGAATCATAATAATAAACACAACATAATAGCATTAAGTATCATATTGTAATAAAAAAAATTTTTTATATATCATATAAATATTTTTAAAATAAGGATGCTAAAAAACAATAAAATGAAATATTGTTTCAAATAATCCATTTTTTTACTATTCTTTTAATGTATCGAAATACTCAATTAAAGTGCGTCAATTAAAGTGCATCACAGTATCTTTATATTTTTACTTTATACAGAGACACGTTCATTTGGGCTTACCGAATGAATAATGATTATAGAGCAACTCTTGTGGATGTCTATCATCAAGATCAGCGCTGTTGATGCCAAGTGGATCCAATTTAGCGATATGATGGCCACGAATCTGTCAATTTAACGCCACATTCATACGAACCAAATAATTTTTAGTTTTCAAACTTATCAACTCATTATATACATTAAAATAAATTACTGTGATAGATGTTTACTTAAATATGTTTTAAAATATTTATTTATATGTATTAAAAAAGAGAAAAAAAAAGAAAAAGAGACAGACAAAAAAAAATTTTTTTTTAAAAAACGTAACATCACAGTAATTAAAAACAAACATATTATGAATAAATATTCGTTAATATTAATATTTTAACAATTAAAGCATGTTATGTACATACTTTTTATTATTAAACTTATTATTTATATACTTAAAATATATACTAGAAATATTTAATTGTTATTTTATAATTTTTTGAATAATTAAATTAAACAAATATATAAAAATTAAAATAAAATTCTGCTATAGATAAAAAATCAATAATTACAATATAATAAAGTTAATAGTAAATTGTTCCAGAAACAAACATTCTTTAAATAATAATTGCAAACATATAAAAGCAAAGCTGATAACATTTGCAAGCATGCAAAGCAATGATTTCCAAATTTTTCTTACCTTAGATAATTTTCTTGTACACATTATTTAAATATATCATAAATAATTACACATATATTACAGAATAATAATATAAGAACTATTTACACATTTTCATTGGTATACTTAACATATTATCAATACATTAAATTAATTACAAAATATAAACTAATAAACATTCCATATTTTTTTAAGAAAAACATTTTCAGTATCAGTAAAATTTATCATGGATTTACATTCATATAACACCTTCTTATTTTATTCAATATTTATATTTAATATTTGTAATAATTCTTTCATTATTTTATTAATATTATTAATATTTTTATTCTCCAATATATAAATATATAAGAAAAACTATTTTAATTATATATTTTAATATAATAATTCTTTTTAAAGAAGACTTCACAAAAATATTAAATTTTATATAAAATAAAAAATATGTTTATCATATAATGAACAGAATATTGGAGAAAAAAAAAGATATAATAATCAAGAAGGAGTTAATATGTATAATGAAAACCATGTTTATTTTTATGATGTGAAATATGATATAACTGGTGAAGGTGTTTTAAAAATGTTCTAATAATATGAAAGTATTAATATTTTGATGAATTTTGACAAAGGTAACAAACAAATATAATTTAAAGCCAAATTTAAAATGATATATATATTATGAATGGCACACCTTTACCTTATGATATACATAAAAAATTGAAATAATAGTTTAAGGAATAGGTTTGGGTAAAAGCCTTACCAAGCATATATTGTCGCAGAACCTGTTCTGGAGATCCCTTGCGGGCTGCATAATGTGTATGTATCAGGTCTGTTTGCATAATACCCAGTGGGTCCAGATCAGCAACTAAGTGACCTCGAGCCTATATGCCAATAAATAATTCCAAAACGACCCCAATGTATATCAGTTTTTCTATTTATTACTACAATACATTACTACCATATAAAGATACATTTAATATTTTATGTAATTAATTGATATTAAAATTGTAACTACCCCTTAACTATTAACTATTTTTAATACTAATTATTACATTAGCACATTAAAATTTTTAATTTATACATTTTTAAAACCACATAAAAATACATATTAGAATTTTTTAAATATATGAAATAAATAATAAAGTTAGAAATATTGTAGCCTTTATATCAAATTTTTGGTTGAATTAATAAAAAAATACTATTTTAATCTATTTTTTGTAAATAAACTATTTTTAATAGTAAATTGTTTTATAGTAGTAGATATATATATATATTTTATTAATTTTTTATTGATTCATTTCTTTTATTATGTATTAATGATTATGTAATATGCATTACATATGATAATGTATTAATGATACAATTTATAAAAGTTTGACATATAACCTGGGAAATATTTAACTGTAAAACATGCTAAAAGTAATAGATGCAATAAGCATCTAATGGAATGAGATTATTAATATTTGACTGATTTGATATTGTAATGTATTTGAAATATTCATTTTTTTAATGATAGCATGAAATGATGAATTATTTCATGAAACACATGATAACCCTTAATAAACCAGTTTCAATATCAATTTCTTATGTCCTATATTTCATAATTTTCTTTTTTTCTTTTTTTTTCATTTGCAAAATTAATATATTAATTAGATTAGTAAACATAAATATGATGTTAAGAAATAAAAAAAAGAAGAAATTAGGACATGGAAATTGAGAAGAAACTTTTTATGTCACATGCAATGATAGTAAAAATTTCCCTTCAACATAAAACATACATACAATGTTTCTAGAACACATGCTACAATGTTTCAAGATTAAATAATGATTGAATTACATTCAAAATATTAAGACATTTTTCTCAATGATTTCAAAAAATAAAATAAAACATCTAAAAGCTTTAACATGAAGCCAAAATGTTTACTTAAATTGAATATCTCATAAAATAAAGAAGAAAAATGAAATTATTTAAAAATATATAATAAATACATTTTTTGTAATATATATAAGAAATTTGAAGTGCTTAAAAATATGTTTTTCAAATTTCTATTTTTTTTTAAATAATATAATAATAATAATATAAAATTAATATACCTGATAAGAACGAATAATAGCTTGAACAGCCAGATGATCATCAATTATCTTTTCAGTAATAGGTATTTGGCTTAATTGAGTACTTCCACCAAGTGGTAATAATGCTCCTAATGGAACTTGGTTATGACTTGGAGCAAGAGAAGGAGGAGCTTGATATGCAAGACCTGGTGCAGCTCCAGCAGTACTACTACGGAAAAATGAATCCCAAGACTACAAAAAAAATAAAATACGTACAAAATTAACATTATTATTTATATTAGTAATAATAATATATTTTATAAATTTATTACTAACCACATGTACACTATGAGGATCTTGTAGCCATGCATTATACATTTCTTCTACATAAGAGCTAGAACTTCCATTGAGAAAAGGTTCTGTTGCTACCCGATTGCTATACTTTTTAGCTGATTTGGCAACTATCACTTGTGTAGTTCTTGTTAGAGGATGACTTCGTACTAGCCATGAAGCAAACCTTTCAGGTTTGCACATTCGAGGTGCCAAAGGAGTTAATGTACTAAATACTGTCCTTGCCTTATACATTTTTACCTGAAACAAATAATAATGTTATAGAGAGTTCATATTTTGTTTATATTGTATATTTTTATTTATATTTACTCAGAAAACAAAATAAGAAAATAAATTAAATAATAAAAGATAAATAAATTTTATCAATTTGCTTTCAAGTATAAAATTTTTATCTAATTAAAATAT